AAATCTGATCTGTGATGCGACTGTCGTTCGGCACGCTGCATTGAGCAGCCGCGTTCAGGTTTTAATTGTAGTGTCTATTTTTTTACTGAACTAAATTATTTTTATTACTACAAAAAATCAAAACGACGGTGGGGGTCGGTGACGTGGTGGGCAAGTGACGTAACCGGTGTTGCAGCTTAACACCAGTATAACCGTCAGCACCGTCTGTCGCGGCAAGCCTAGTCCCCTACAGAGCTGGGGTTCCCAAACTTGTCCCAGCTTATTTACTTGTAGTGCTAAAATTCTTAAGAAAACGTAAGCAGTGCTTGCTGTGAAAAACTTGCCACGTTGCCAAAGAGTTTTACCGTTTTCCTATTTGGCTGATCAGGTGTTTTTGGTGGTTGAGGCAAAAGAGGCCAACCTTTAAGTCTCTATGGTATTTTAGTCCCTAGATAAGACTAGACATGGATTAGCATGAGCTATTAAGAATTTTTAATAAATAAAAATCAGAAGTTACATTTTGATTTATTTTGAAATAATATATTTGTATTATGAATAATAAATGTAATCTAAATGTAAAGGTGTATTATTCTTAATAACGCTTAGTGTCTCGTGGAAGCGGAATCTCAATAACCCTCAATATCATGGACCATCATTTAAACATTAGAATTGGCGGCACCATATTCAAGGTCTGAACTCGTATTGCTGAATTCAGAACCCAAACGATTACACACTGAATCTGTGACATGCACATCCATGTACATTTGAGCATAAACAAACCTTTTATACATACATCCACTCAAATCCTTCACAATCTGTAGCAAGCTGAGCCTGGTGCCTTTCAGTGCAGGGGGTGGTGGGCACACATGCATACGGACCACTCCACAACCCCCACCACAGCACACATTTGCTGATTTGGCACGGTCAGCTGGTGTGTGCTTCAAAGGCCCAGCTCTCGGAGGGGGTACTGGGGGGTTGGGATAACCAGCAACCAAACACACACATACACAGGGGCACCTGTACGTATCAAGTGCTACTCAATTCCTGAAACCCAAGTAGTGTAGGGCAACTTTCAAGCAAGCAAGCCTATTAAACCACAAGTAGGGATCCTTGTGAGAAGGTAACGGTATTACATTTCGCCGGAGGTAGCTTACAGGAGTCCTTCGACGCTGCACACACAAGCTCTTGTGACAGCCATGTGTGCCGAGCGTCTCGCTTTAGCTACATTACCTAACAACTAGATGAGACTCAAACTTTAAGGACAGGGATGTGCAAAGCTACAGATTTTTATGATTTTTTATGACCGTTTATTATTTTAACGGTTGCATTTTTACATTATTTGCAGGTGCAACATTAACAGTCTTTCAGTTTGTATAACATACACCATAGTAGGGCTGCACGATAAATATCGCATCTCTGTGTAGTAAATTCTGCTCAATGTGAAAGCACGCACGTGATGGAGATTTACCGCTGATTACAGAACCGGCTTTACTGACGAGATGCTCGTTAAATATCGTGCAGCCCTACACCATAGCTAAGACTTTGGTACCAACTGACTGGCTGAAAACTCGTATAGCCATGTACGTTTTTTTAGTCATATTTGTACAATTACTGCTTGTGCAGCATCAACAGTATATAAAATGTTACGATATACGTGACAGCTAAGACTTTGCCACCAACCGACCTGTTAAAAGCATATGTGGCAGTGTACAATTTTTGCGGTACAATCATTTTAAATTAATAATCGATTTTTTTTACAATCAAGTGCAACATCAACAGTCTATCAGACTGTACGGTATACAACATAGCCAAGACATTGGTACCAATCGGTCTGCTGAATGCTCAAATGGCAGTTTACGATTTTTACGAATGTTGTTTGAGCAACATCAACAGTCTACCAGACTGTACGATAAACAACATAGCTAAGACTTTTGTACCAGTCAAACATATTGCTCCTTGAACACAACTGTAAGGCAAAATTTCTGACGCTGACAAAACTTCGTAAGAGGCAAAAATTTTGATGGAAAATTTACGAACTGATACTATGTATGAGCAACAGATCAAGATTAACACTTTCAGAGTAGAGAGACAGAGACAGCCCACAAGGCTATCGTGCCGACAACAACTACATTTTTTTATGTCAAATTCTCACAAACTACTTGCAATTCCTCAAAACACCACAACATCAATTATTTCAATGCTATTTCTCCCAACCACAAAAATAACAAAGAAAAAACCCAATGTGGCTACACATCTGAGAAGTTACGTCTCTAAATTAATCTTCTAAAATAAAAATTCTTTACATTATGATTCATCAGGATGAGTGCCGTACGATGCGTTACCACTCAATGTTTCTGGACCAGCTGATTCAGCAGATGTTAAACTTCACGAACGAGCCGCGCACAGCATTTGGTTTACAAGAGCAACTCATTCTGGAATACACTCATATTCGCATTACGTAATGTATTTGTTTAATGTGAAATGCTAATGACAATGTGGGCCACTTGGAATAAATGAATCGTTTTTGCTTGAAAATCCCCATCTTGGAGCGCAACCTAAAAATAAATCTCTCTCTTACAATCCCATTTGAGAGGAAGAGAATCCCATGGACATTGGGTTGGAAGAGGAAATAAACCAGGTCACTGCTGCTATCCTTGAACAAACGGTCCTGTTCTCCTGCCTGATCTCACTTCCTCCATCCCAACTGAAACATTAGAGAGGACAGGGAAATGGTGTCCTTCAGGGTAAACTACATGAGGGAGAGACAGTCCCTGCGGGCCAGAGGTAGTAACTTGTTCTTTTAATTCACACCATTGCTTCATTTGACACCAAAAGCTAGTCAAGAATGAACTGGGATCCACCGGAAGCAGGTAATTAGCCTAATTAGTGGGCCATAAAGTTCTCTGTGAAGAACTAGAGCACCTGTCGACTGTGGACTGATCCATCAGTTACATTTGTTCAGACTATGTAGTCTTGTATTTCGGTGTAATATCTACATCTGTTGCTTACACCTTGCTGATACCAATGACAGCAAGGGAAAGAGACAAATTAAACATGCACTTATCAATCATATTGTAATCATAAGTTATAATAACCATGCATTTTGATTTTTTTTAAAGTTATATTTATGGGTTTTTATGCCTTTAATGGACAGGACAGTAGAGAGCAAACAAGAAAGCACTGGGTGGAGAAAGGCGAGCGGGATCAGCAAAGGACCTCGAGATGGGAATCGAACTCGGGTCGCCACAAGCACAGTTGCGCTAGCTATATGTCAGCGCACTAACCACAAGGCTATTGGCGCCAACATGCATTCTGAGAATTAACCATTTATTTGTTATTATGAATCTGAATTTTTCTATTTTCCAACAGCTATAACTGACTGCTTGATTTAACCATTTTTGTAGTCAGTTTTAATTATCAAATTGTGAATTTATTTACCAACGTTTATAATGGATTGCTTGATTTATTGATTTTTGTAGAATTGTTTTGATTATTAATTTGTGAGTTTATCCATTTAGCAACATTTATAATGGATTGCTTGATTTATCGATTTTGTTGACAATTTTTGACGATCAAACTGTGAATTTATCCATTTACCAATGTTTATAATATATATAATATGAATGTAATCTGCTTACCAATGATAATAATTGATTGCATTATTTACTGAATTCTTAGACAAATCGATTATCAAATTGTGACTTGTACCAATAGATTTCACCGATAAATACACAATCTGTTATTTAAAAGTTAAATATGAAAATCAATAAATCAAGACAAGCTGATATTCAAAAGTTGATTTATCATTTAATAGATGTTTGATTTAACAATGTCATAGTCTATTTTTGTTTATCAAATTGTGAATTTATTTACCAGTGTTTATAATTGACTGTTCGATTTGTCTATGGATTTTCATAGACTTTCTTTGAATTTATTATTATGATTAATCTGAGTGTCACATTCAGGGCTACACAATATTTTGCCATTTAAAACTAAATGGTTCTAAAAATAATTTCTAGCTTTGAATTGTACATTTTCTCTAGTTTTTCTCAGGTATTGTACACAACGGCTTGATATTTGCTTCTAAATATTAATACAAGACCAACAACAACTACATTTCTTTAACACACTTGAAAGATTGTTCATTACCGGTTCTTAGTCATACCAGACATCTGGAAAGAGTTAAATTGAGTTGTTATTATGGGCTGACTCACTCCAAACACTAAATAAAGTTAGAACAGGCCCAGTTAGTGTGTCAGTCTCTGGTTTCTGTGACACTCCATCAGTCTGGCGAGGGAAGGGGGTAACATGACTCGAGCTGCCAGGCTGAGTCAAGCACGGCCAAGCCCAGCTCACATCACCTGCCACAGGGCCTGGGTGTGTGCACGCTTCACTGGAGCGACGAGCCGATCAGGAGCCAACCCTGCTACCTGTCAGCTCAGCACCACGTGTAAGAACTTGAAGCCTGCTTAGAGAGATCCTACTCATGAGAACTTAATGACTGCGCCAAATCTCTCTTAGCTGGAAAATTGAAGCTAGATACAGAGTGACGCTAGGGGTGGGTGACATGACCAAAATCTGACAACCACGAGAGGAGTAATTTTGTATTACAGGAACAATTTCTCATTCCATTAAAATTATATTTTGTCAGAAATTAAAATGAAAAAGGCTTATACAGTCTTATAAAAAGACTGTTGATTAAATTCTGATTGGATGAGCAGTGTTTGAAGTTGATGTAGCCTAAATTGACTATAAAATGCACACCGTACATTCTATGCTAATAAGTAAAAAGGAGTTAAAATAATGAACTATATTACATGATGGAAAAATACTTAGTACCAGTTTATTGTACATTGGTGTCTGTTGTTGCAGTTTAAAAAACAATGTATTAATAATAATAAGTTTGGGGCACTTCTCATATTTCCCATATGACCAAAAACAATTAAATGGTATATAATTAAATTGTATACTATTTTGTCTAAATAAAATAAAATAAAAACAAGTTTAGTTTAATACCATTTAAATGTTTAAATTCTTAGTCAAATTTAGGCATCACAACATTATTATGTAGGCTACAACATGAAAAAAAAAAAAGATATTAATTTTGAGATTTTAAAAAATATATATTTTAGTGTTTTTAAAGATTAACTTTCGATGACAGCAAAGGTAAAATAAATAAATTAAACTAAAACAAATTTTAAAAATAAGTTAAATAGGGAAATTGGCAGTGCAGTTAAATTAAATATCCAGTACTGACTATACCAATCAATAAATAATAAAGAATAATAATAATTATATTAAAACAACAAAGTTAAAATACTATATGGGCCATTCTACAGAATTGGTGCAAAGTCAGAGTTGGAAACGACTTTAATAAAAATGTGTCTTTTGTATGTATGCAAATTGTATAATATCCAAGGTACACATTTCTAGTAATTGTACAGTTAATTCTCATATTGTATTTTCAGAAAGTTCTGGAATATTTGTCCTCTCTCCAAATGTGTCACTACTGAAATATATAATTTAATAAGAAGGCTTATATTGACCTATTAAGATTCTGCTTACATCTTCCTTGTGAATATATCTTTTTCTATTTTATTAAAAAGTTTTCAGAGGTAAATCAATAGCAAATCACAATTTTAACAATATTTCAAGTGTGATTTATGAGATTTGTTGTTTTTTTTAAATCCAATTTTTCTTTGTAAAAAGGCAAAAAGTTGACCATACTGATTTCCAACTCAAGGATTCTTTAGTTTGAATATACATTGAACAATCATAACATCAAAAAACAGGAAAAAGAATGCAGAAGGGAAACCTGTCTGTTTTGGCGAAGTACAGTAGTGTGCAGGAAGTCATGGTTACTCATCTCTTCCTGTTGGAAGAGATGTTGAGAAGTTCCCAGGGCTGACCCGCTTCCTTCCTCACCACTAACAAACAGACACGGTTTTCCACATCAATGCAGGAAAACAACAGGACAGAACTGAATTTTCACAGCTATGCATGGTTTCTAAAGATTAAACAATAAGAAAGAGAGACTCTACTGGCCCAACAAATGTGTTTTTAACCCAGGCTGCGACTCAATAGCCAATGTTCCCAGCAAGTCGATAGCCACTTGCTAATGTCATGATGTGTGGAGGTTGGTTGGCCAGCATCTATACTCTTTGATGACACACAGGCACATCTATGAAGCCGGGCTAAATATAACTGCCATTGTTGTGGTCTGACAGAGGGACTTTGGTTGGACACAGCAGAAGATATTTAGCAGCAATAGGTTCAAATAAAATATATGTACGTTTGTCTTCACAAAAGGTGCAGCTTGAAAGTCATAAGGGGATCAAAGCAAAAATCTTTGCTAATTTAATCAAATTTAGACACTAAATTGTGTCACTGACAGATGGAGCACTTAATATGACTGAGGTTTTCCTGTTGACAGACACTGTTCAACATGTAGAACACCAAGTGATAAAACTCCAACTATGAAGCCATAGATTTTATAATTTAGGTTAGTGATAAATAAGGGAGTTCACTGTCCATTCTGAAAAAACGTTTGTGGTTTATTATATTTAAAATAAACTCATACTTTGAACTTTAAACATCCAAGTCACACTGAGGGAACTTCACAACATTCAGACACTGTTCCAGTGAACTGTGTGTAAAAAGCAACTGATGGGAATTCTAGAGAACAACGAGGAACAATGGAGCAACTCTTCCATTGAGCACAGACCAAATTATGGACAAATGGAACGTTGGCGTTTAAAAATTAGAACGCCGAACGTTCCCTTTAAAGAAACAGTACAGAACGAAACAAAACGAAAATTCTTTATAAAATAGTTATTTCTTCAGTGGAGCACAAAAGGAAATATTTTGTGGCAGCCCAGGTCACATCTTTTCTTCATATTTTTCATTCTGTGTTCCACAGAAGACAGACAGTCAAACAGGTTTGGAACAATAGAATTTTCATTCCTTTAAAAGCGAATGACAAATAAACATTTACAACGTTTACAGAGATCATAAACAATTATAATAAAACAGAGTCACTCGTTTTCGAATGTTGAATGTGACGTTTTGAATTAGTTTGCGCATAAAACTTCGTCAAATTACATTTAAAGATACGATACAGCACTCACCTTAAAATACCCCCCCTCGTAGTGCGTATTCGGGGGTCCGAAAATCGCGACTTCCCAGTTGTACAAGTCCGACTCGTCGACTAAAGTTATTTTGAAGCCTTCAACCGGTTCGTCCTGAAAACTTTTCAGCTCTAACATTAAAGCTTTTTGGGAACTCGCAACATGATGGTGTCCACGCTGAGCCATATTCCGAAAACAAACGATCTGGCATCCAAAATAACCCCGCAAACAACTTTAGCTCGCCCGTTTCACCGCACACGCTCACGCGAACAAACCCGAGATAAGTCACTCGATGAGAAATTAGGCTCAGCGAGTAACAGCCCCGGCCGAGTTGCTGTTCGCGTCGGGCATTTGAAGTACCACGTTAAGCACCTGCCGTCGATATTAAACGTGTCAGATTAATCAAGCGTTCCGCTAGTAAATAAACATGCGAGCAGGGCAGCTTGTTTGAGAGTCTCGCTCCCTCCCCCAGCGTCACTCTATAGGACACCGTGCCTGCAGCTGAAGATCACGGCCCGCCTAATACACCTCCTGCAACCAATGGAGCTTCAGCAGCTTAACCTCCGAGAAAAACACAGCACAAGGAAATATTTCAACCGCGCTTAAATATACTTTATATTGCTACGTTGACTTTTAATTCCAACACTGTATGGGGTAAGTTCTATCTATCTATCTATCTATCTATCTCTCTTACAATTTTAAAAGGTTTTTAATTAGGTGTTTGAAACCAAAACCACAATTTGTGACATTATCTATCTATCTATCTAGCTGTCTGTCTGTCTGTCTCTTACAATTTTGAAAGGTTTTTAAGTAGGTCTTTGAAACCAAAACCAAAATTTGTGGCATTATCTATCTATCTATCTATCTTCACCCTACAACAACAACAAGATATTTCATAGATAAATTAAATATCTAATTCAAATTTCTCCTAATGAATAAGGTTTTAATATTACAATAAACAACACCATAGACAAACCAGGAAATTAAGCTGCTTTAAGATGATTTATAAATCATGTTTTATGTTTAAAATGATTTATAAATAACAAATACGCAAATAAGTATTTTTAACTTTGTTCACTGCTTGTTCACACATGATTACAAACAGGAAACATCGTCGATCAAACAAGAGGCAAACATTTGGTCTACATATAGATGTATGAATTTATTGGTGCACACATAAAACTATAGCATCCTTCTCAAACTCTTTTGCGTGGACCTCTCAAAAATGTTGCTTGCACATTATTGGTCATTCTTGTAGTTCATTTATTCATCTTAAAACATTATATTACATCATACAGTCGGAAAATACATATGAAGGAGTTGGACAATACCTTCAACCGAAGAGCAATGAGAGTATATTTAATGATAAGCCAAATCCAGCAATATCTGCACTACAACTTGCCAGAGGGAAAACCTTATTAGATTAGCTGGGCCACTTCACTTGAATCACATTTAACAGCTAAAGTATTCATATCTATAAGGACCCCCCAAATCCCCCCAAACTCCCTCTACTGATATTTATAATAATTTAATGCAAAATGCAATTTTTTAAAAACATTCCAAGACATTTTCTGAAGTTTATGTCCTCATAACAAATAAAAATACATTATACCATCAAAAGGTGTAATATGGTGAAGCCAACTTTTACGTAAAAAAAAAGGAAACTAGAAAATAATTGCGACAATCAAGGAATGATAGGGGTTTTCTATGCAAGTGTTCATGTATTAGTCAAAAACAAACAAAAAGTAGGCAAAAGTTTACATTCCTACCCATGCAAGTTATAAATTTCAATGTGACTTGTAGCACAAAATTCAGACTTGTTAATAATTAGTTGCTTTTCTCAACATCAGATGATTCGAGTCCTCACAGGACCTGTAAAACACTAGATGTTGTATTTCCAGAAACGTTCTTTTACATCTGCTATTCAAGTCACTTCTTGTTGATGAACTCAATCGTACGATGGAAAACACTTGCAAGGTACCCTCAGGACAACGTCAGGTTTCATGAGCAGATCTCCACTATTTTGGTTGCGTCCTTACAACCGAGCGCTACAGCGTGCTGGATCTGACAGTTAAACAGGAATTACTTACAGCATGTGCCTGAATTAGTCAGTACAAGTTCATTAGTGTGGGAAAAAAAGGCATTTACCAGCATAAAAAACAAAAAGATTCCTTGTAATCTGCAAATGTGCAAGATGGCAGTTCTAAGAGCTGAAGAACACGTGAAGCATGAGTTTGGATGGTGTCAAAGCCACGGTGGCGTTTGACAGACGAGATACAGACCGAGCAAGTGCACATTTAGCTTTTTAGGCTCCCTTTAACAGAATTATATTCTCAAGACAGGTATTAGAAACATACAAGGGGTCATTTTAATATAATACTGTCCAGAAACATGAGACACTGTCAGTGTGTTAAATGGCATGTTTAAGGAATATTTGGGGTTAAAACGTTTAATGATGAATGCTATCAGAAAAGAATTTCGAATAGTACTTTAGTTTGTAAAAAGTATATATATATATAAAAACCAAATAAATCGCATCAAATCGATTAATCGCATCCAAAATAAGTGTTTACATAATATGCGTGTATGTATGTATGCATATATATAGTAAATCAGATATAAATATGAATATATAAGTATATACATGTATGTGTGCATTTATATATACACATAAATATACACAGTTAACACATATTATGTAAACACTTATTTTGGATGTGATTAATTGCGATTAATCGATTTGACGTGATTAATCTATTTGAGTTTTTTCCCGAACAAACTACGGTACAAATCGAAATTATTCTGAGGTAAACAGGCAACCTGGAGATTTCATCCTTATGGTGTCCATTAGGGTTGAAGAAAATTTGAGTAAATTTCTGGAAACACCTCTTTGCAACCCTAGCGTCCATTAACTGGAACATAAAAGTACTAGAATTACTATATCGGATTTGCGAGATGTAAAATAATCCGATTTTGTTCATTTTGCCACTTTCACTAACCGTCATTATCCTGAGCAAGGTTTGTTAGTGTGCAGTTTAGTTAACTATATGCAACTGTAGTATTATCTCCCAACATTAGGACACAAATAGTAGGGCTATCACATGATATCGCTAATATCACGTGGGATCGCAAATATAAACGTGGTCTAGAATGCAACCCTGTGTACCTATATGTCCTATATGCGTGCAACTAAATGTGCAACTGCACTTATGAGTGAAATTAGTGCTCAGAGGCAGTTAAGAGTTTGAGGATGGGTCGAGGGAAGGATGTTTCTGGTCCGAAACCAGTCCTGCAAGGGCTAGCCTCCGAAAAGAGCAACACATACGTGACGAAACTGGTAAGGAACAGACACGCTGATGTTTAATACAGAGAAAGGCGATGATGGGAGTTCAGGACAGAAAAAAAAAAAACGCAACAAACAACAAC